TCAACATTCAAGCTTTAACATTCAAATCAATTCAGTATTCAATATTCAATATTCGATAATCAATCTATCAATTAAAATCAATCAACAAGTATTCAATCATCGAACCAACAATATTCAAATACAAGGCAAATACTTAGTAAATTGTACATAGTGTATTATATTGTACAAAATAAAAAACCAAACAAAAAAGGGAGTTCTTCATCAACAACAAAAACAAAATCCGAAAGAATATATGGGACAGTGAGCGAATACTGCAACCACCGAACAGTGTACATTTCCCAAGAAGTTAGGTATATGTGAACTGAATATAATGTATATGTACATTTCCCGGCAAATGTGTACTCTTGCCTTCACGTTTTGGTAAATGTATACTCTTACCTTTATGTTTTAAGAAAAGTTAGAATACAAATAAATTAAAAATGTTGTTGCAGTAAAAAAATATTTATTTAAATAAACATAATACAAAAGGCTTTAATAACGAAAATTATTTTAATTAAAAAATGCAAATGACAAACAAAACATTCTTTTCTTTGCATGTTATATAATATGTCGTAGGTTATGATCCCAATATTCATAAATACAATTTTCGTCCTAGTTTTTCAGGACCAATACGATGGGAATCAAACAAATAATAATAATAACATACTTTTCTTTATTATAACAGTTAAATTTTATAAAACTATAATGAACATATAGAAATTTCATAATGAAAAAAGTTTTATTTATTTGAGCAACAATTGCTATTGTGGCACTTGGAATTACATAATATTCCAGCATTTATTTTTATTCCACATTACTAGGCACTTGCGATTTCCTATTTTGTATGCTCACATTTACCAAAACGACATGGTCATTGTGAATTCAATGTACATTTCCCTTCTTTGAAATTGTAAATGTTAGTTGAATGCACATTACCCAAACGAGGAGGCAAATGTGCATATTTACCGGAAAATGTGTACATTTGCTGCAATATCTACTTTCACAGTAACACCGTAACAGATATACATTTCACCTATATACATATATATATATATATATCATTATATATATTTATAATAACAATATAAGTACATTTATGCCCACGGGGTATTTTGCAAATTATTTAGTAAACATCAGTACATTTACACCTAATTGTCCTATTTAATAAAGGCTATTTTTCATATATAGGCCGAGTGCAATTGTCCATCGCCGCATGTATCAATCCAATAAGGATTGTAAGTTTTAATCAAGGCGCATTATCAACCGGGTTGAAAAGTTCCGCGGTTTTTTATCTCTTACGAAGTGTTGTGTTTCGTGGAATTCGTTTAAACTAAGTTTGCAACTATTATATTTTGTTTTTGTAAAACTACAACAGATATTAACAAATTGTTTTGCTAAAGTTTTCTAAATTTTTCATTTGTTTATTACAGTAGTGTATATATGTACAAGAGTTACATCAGTGATGTGTAAATACAATCTATATTCTATAGCAAACATATTGAAAATATCAAGTCATTATAACTACCTATTGAAAACGTTAAACAATTTCTTTTTTTGGAACTTGTCGTCCTTTGAGCATTTGTTTCATTCAATTCAAGGAGCAATATTAAAATCGTCTGTACCATATGTAGTTTATTTCATTTCATTAAACACATTTTTGCTTGGATTAACAATATGTCTGCAAATGGTAAATAATTGAAATGTCTGATTTCATAAAACTATTTTTCTATCTTTCACTTAATTACAGTAATTACGTAAGATTATTATTCTATTCTATGAAAATGGCATTAATTATAGTTGCAAACTTGGTCAAATCGGGTAAACATTTTTGCTTTTCGTTTGTGAGTGGTGTTGTTTTCATCCATCAAGACCAGCAAATAGGTAAGCATTTACTGTAAAATGTTATAGCTAGGAATTTATTTAGGAAAGAGTAGGTACTACAAAAATATAAATGTTAATTTAAATGTTTTACAAAAAATAATAATTTTTAAATATTCCAAACCAAGAAACCAGTTATTAAAATAGTCGTCTTGCTAATAAATTATTGTTAAGTTAAAACGGAAATCGTGTAAATGAATAAATTTTACGTCTAACTCGCAGTAGGTAATTATTATGCCAAAAAAGGAAAAAATCATCTAGTATGTCTTAAAAGTTCTCTTTTTTTTAAAATTACAACAATTTAAGTCAACATATTTTTTAGAATTAATTAATAAAGTTAGGGCATACTAGTCGCTATCCTTTTCATTTCCGAACTGGAGCTTCACGGTAACTGCACTAATTACTTACTTAGATAGGAATTGGCAGGTATTGCGCAACAATGCGAACAATCATGCTATACTATTAACACCGGCAGGTATTTCGCTATGCGATAATCATGCTATGTGTTACGCTAAGTAATGATTTAGGGTTTTTACCGCTTTTCTTCGGGCCTACTAATGGGAACATCAGTTGATGGTGGAGGACGGATGACGTATTGAGCTTCCTGACACCACAGCAGGTATTGTCTTCACATCCTTCGATCGTTCAATTAATTTGGGCGATCAAAAAACTTTTGCTTTTTGTCTTCCCTTCTTTTTTGACATAAGTATAAATTTTTATTTTTCAGTACTAGAAAGTACACACCTAATATGCTTTGACGATTTATTTAATGGCTTCTTTCTTGAATTTTCTTTGATCTTTCAAATAAATTATTTGATTGTGATAATTATTTTGAATATTTCGCATATAAAAATTTGAAATAGTACTAGGTTCTATATCTAGGTCCCTTAGGTACTCATCATCTTCAGTGATTGAAAATTTTTTTTTGAAAATCTTCAAATAGGTAAGTGACGTATTTTGAGCATATTAACATGCGACGATCGTTTCTATGCCATAAGTGCTTATATTTAAAAACTGATACAAACGGAAAAGTTGAAAAAATAAGAAAAAAAAAAAACTTAAGGACTGAATAAAAGAAAACTTATGATTATACATCTGATTGTGACAAAAATAATAAGTTATATGATTTCGCCCTACATGGTGAACACCTACATTCTCTAACTAATTATATGATTAAAATACGAAATGTGCTTAGTTGATGTACATATTGAGGTTCTTAAACATTTTTCAGAATCCAGTGGTTCTATGTAATTTTTCTAGAATTAACATTTTCTTTGTGCTTAAGATTATTAGGAACTGTTAAAATATTTCAATGTGAAATGCGTTAAATCCGTTACGTTAGTATAAATACCCACATCATTTGGCTGGAATGATGTCAAGATCGTTTTGTATTTAGTACCAATTTCCCACCCCTTGTCGCTGACTTTATGTGAATTTTGACGGTCCTTTTCATAACTTTCATTTCGGGTTTTAAAAGCCTAAAATCAAAGCAGTCATTCTCTTTCAGGCATCGTGGGACCAAAATTTGACAACTGCATTTGTGTAGGTTTTCATTTGCAGTTGTCATCTTAGTCATTGACTTCGGTCAATTGACGATTTTTTGTGGACTACAACCTTAGGTTTCACGACCTAAAACCGTAGTCCTGACCTTGACCAGCAATGGTCGAGGGAAACTCAATCAAGTTAGTACCAATTTCCCATCCTTTGTCGCTGACTTTATGCCAGTTTTGACGTTGCTCCCAGAGCTTTTATTTTGGGTTTCAAAAACCTAAAATCAAAGCAGTCATTCTTTTTCAGGCATCGTGGGACCAAAATTTGACAACTGCATTTGTGTAGGTTTTCATTTGCAGTTGTCATCTAAGTCATTGATTTCGGTCAATTGACGATTTTTTGTGGACTACAACCTTAGGTTTCACGACCTAAAACCGTAGTCCTGCCTTGACCAGCAATGGTCGAGGGATTTAATTTAAATTAGTGCCAAACTCCCTACCCGATGTCGTTGACTTTGGTCAGCTTTGACGTTCCTTTCCTAAAGCTAAGATTTTGGACTTTTAAAACCTAAAATCATGTTGATCAATTTCGGGCATCGTGGGAAAGCCCTGACTTGCGACTGTCATCGCAGTTATTGACTTTGTGCCAACTACTAACGGCTTTTTTGAGAATGTATAAGTGTGGTTCACCCCTTATTAGTAATGGTCGAGGAAACTCTGATTTAAGTTTCCCTCGCCTTGTTATTGATTTCATGCCAGCTTTGATGTTTCTTCCCCAAATGTATGAGTTTAGATATTAATCTTAATATTGTTGCATTATTGCAGGTATTACATACCTATTGTTTGATTTTTATGTGCATAATGAAGTGCCTTTTTATGTAACGATATTTCTGTGTAGATATCGATGGGGATGTTTTCTTATTAAACTGGACATCAGCCTGTATTCTTCGTATTGGAGCAACTTTTTGAAATGCCTGAACTACGTCGTGGTAATTACAAGGGTAAAGTACAAAATGCAGTTATTAGAAAATATCACTTTTGATGATATAAAAACAAAAAGAAGAAATATTTTCTTGTTTAAATTCTTCTTAAGTCATTGCATTTTAAAATTGGATTTAAAAATAGTGTTATATTGTCTTTAATAATATAATTTCTAACACTATTTGTTTTAGGTAACAACCAAGTTGTCATAAAATTATGTATAAAATACGCTTTCTGTATAAATTATTTATTAACAATTTTCATGTGAAATGGTCAATTGAAAGCGTATTTTTTACTTAATTAAACGATATTTCTCTGTAGATATCGATGGTGATGTGTTTGCTTACTAAACTGGACATCAGCTTGTATTCTTCGTAACGGAGCAAGTTTTTGAAGTGCCTGAACTACGTCGTGGTAATGACAAGGGTAAAGTACAAAATGCAGTTATAAGAAAATATCACTTTTGATGATATTAAAACCAAAAAGAAGAAATATTTTCTTGTTTAAATTATCTATAATACAACTACTTAACGTCATTGCATTTTAAAAGTGGATTTGAAAATCCTGATTTATAATGTTATATTGTCTTTAATAATATAATTGCTAACACTATTTGTTTTAGGTAACAACCAAGTCGTCATAAAATTGAGTATAAAATACGCTTTCTATGTAAATTATTTATTAACATATTTCATATCAAATGGTCAATTGAAAGCTTATTTTTTACTTAATTTTGTCTTTCAATGAGAAATTGGGTCCAGTCCAACTTTCCTTCAAGTTCTGGAGTTCAGAGTATTGGTGCAATTAAAAGTGGAATATTCTTGACACTGATAAGTTATCTTTTTCCTATTAACTTGGTTAATGAAATACTTATTTTAAAAATAATCTCTTTTTAACTTCTAAACATGCAATTATTGAACAAAATAATTTTAGAATGAAGCCGATCCAGATCCTGCCTGTATGCCACAGCTCCTCCTAAAGAGATAAAATGGGAAGATGTGTCGGGACAACAGGGAGCAATCACCATCTGGACCTTTTTTAGTTGTGTTATTGTAATGTTCAGGTATATGATTACTGCTTAGAGTGCTAAATATTCGTTAAAAGATGAATTATCCTTATTTAGTAAATTATTTTTGTATTTAAAGATTTAATTAGTTAAATTCATTTTGTTTGTTGTATTCAAAATTAACTTTAAGCATTAGTTTAAGATATTCGTGTATTTATTTAATAAAATTGACGTAATCTGTTTACTAACTTAGTATAAGCCTTAGCGTAATTTAATTTTAAATAAATTAAGTAGTTCGTAATAATTAGTGTAAGATGTTTCTGTATTTAATAAAATTGAGGTAATCTTGTTGCTTACTTAGTATAAGCCTTAGAGTAATATAATTTTAGATAGATTAAGTAGCTAGTACTAATTAGTTTAAGATATTTNAGGACAACAGGGAGAAATCACCTTCTGGACATTTTAGTTGTGTTATTGTAATGTTCAGGTATATGATTACTGCTTAGAGAGCTAAATATTCGTTAAAAGATGAATTATCCTTATTTAGTAAATATTTTGTTGCATATAAAGAATAATTTTTGTATTTAAAGATTTAATTAGTTAAATTCATTTAGTTTGTTGTATTGAAAATTAACACTAAGCATTAGTTTAAGATATTTGTGTATTTATTTAATAAGATTAATCTGTTTACTAACTTAGTATAAGTCTTAGAGTAATTTAATTTTAGATAAATTAAGTAGTTAGTAGTAATTAGTTTAAGATATTTGTGTATTTAATAAAATTGAGGTAATCTTGTTGCTTACTTAGTATAAGCCTTAGAGTAATATAATTTTAGATAGATTAAGTAGCTAGTAATAATTAGTTTTTGTATATTTAATAAAGTAACTGTATTACTAACTTAGTATAAGTCGTAGAGTAATATAATTATAGATAGATTTTAAGTATTATTAAAGGTAGGGACGTGTTATTATTTTTATTACGGTAATCTTTGTAATTTCGCAAAACATTCATGTAAATAAACATACGCTTTTTTTCTTCTGTAAATTAGTAATATTAATACAAATACAACTTCCTACCACGTCCCCACGATCGACTCGCGAAATTACAGATTCCTGTAATTTCGTGTAATTTCGAGTGATTTTTGGTGCTGCCACCTGGCACGAAACCTCAAAACTAAAGATAATAGCGATAATAATAACAATAATTTTGGGTTTTGGGGCTTCATGGTAGGTGGCGACACCGTAGCATTTGCAGGTCATTGGTAAACCAATATTTATGGAGCTCAAGTCCGGTATATTGGGTTAGGGGGCGGGCTTCAAGGGGGCCCCCTTCTAACCCATTTATCCAGCCCTACAAGCTTAAAACCTTTAAATAAAGAATCTTAAATAAAGAAAGAAAGAATCTTAAATAAAGAATCTTAAATAAAGAAAGAAAGAAAGAAAGAATCTTAAATAAAGGCTACAGGAATCTGTAATTTATTACAGGAATCTGTAATCCAAAATTGAAGTTGAGCTACCCAATCATAGATGGCGCCACCGAGTTCAAAGTTATACAATGAGTCTATATTACAAGATTCAGTGACCTTAAATGTTAAATTCTTAAATCACTATGAACGTGTAAATGTTTTGTTTACAGGAATCTGTGACCTTAAATGTTAAATTCATAAATCACTATGAACGTATAAATGTATTGTTGACAGGAATCTGTGACATTGAACGTTTAAAAAATTACAGAGCCCTTTAAATGTTAGTTTGCATGAATCTGTGACCTCGAACGATTAAACAATTACAGATCCCTTTAAATGTTAGTTTGCATGTATTCGTGATTTGTCGTAAGGCTTAAAGTGTGTTCAACGTCAAACACGAAGCAAGGTTTCAGGAATCTGCCATGTGCAGATGCCTGCATTATGATATAACTACAGGTATCTGCCAGAGTTCACAAAACTTTTACAGGTTTAAATATACAGATTCCTGCATTAATTGGAGATTTCATGTACTTTTAAATGTACTACTCACCTATAGAGGGCAACATTAAGTTGACTTATAATTTCGTTACAGCAATCTGTCAGGTACTTTAAAACATGTTTAGGTTTTCGAACGCAATAGATTGAAATTAACAATGAAAAAATGGAATAGAAAAGAAAACTAACCTGTAGTTGTTTCCCAGTTCATTTTCCAGGACCACATAGATCCTGCATAAATTCAATCCAGATAATACAATAGTGCATGAGGAAAAATTTAAAATTAACCACCAAACATCAACAATTATAGTTTATTATTATAGTTTCATTATAACAAAAATTTATGTACAGCGTTTATATCAATATTTATACATGCATAGTTCACATTTTAAAATTAACATTTATGAAAATCAGTCAAATGCCATAATAAACTTCAATTGAATGCATAAGAAATAATAAAATTAATGAATAATTAATGTAAAACGAAAAAGAAAGTTTATATACACATACATACAATCATAAATGCTCTAAGAAAAAAAAATAAATTGCAAATTTAAAAAAATGAATGTTTACCATTTACATTTATTTTTTATATCATATCATAATGTGTGATGAGCATTCAACAGTATCACAACTTCCTTGTGGCCTTTTAAAGTCTAAATAAACCGACATCGGTGGCATGAACAATATATTAATGTTAATTAATTGATGAACAGTCTTTGTGCATTTAAAAAAGTTTCTTCTCTAACACTCGACGACAAAAATTATTTTAGAGATCCTTTCTTTAAAATATTTTTATTTTTTACNATTACCCAAATGAGGAGGCAAATGTGCATATTTACCGGAAAATGTGTACATTTGCTGCAATATCTACTTTCACAGTAACACCGTAACAGATATACATTTCACCTATATACATATATATATAAATTTGTATCAGACAATATAATATAATAATAGAGCACGAGACCAAACTAACATTTTTTTTTAGAATTACTTTAATATGCACAAATTAAAGTACAAATAGAGAAAGGAGACTGAGAACTCTTTAGGAACGAGTAACGAGAATCGTCATTCTGTCCAAGAGGGTTGTCCCAACTTCCCACGCTTTATTACTTGGTTTTTCATAAAAAAAAAACCAATGAACCACTGATGGTTCTCTTACCTCTGTTGCTGCATGCAACTACTAAATATTGGATTGTCTCTCTTTCTCTCTCGGCCTCTGTCATAATTTCCGTACGCATAGTCCGTGTGCTCTATTTTTATATGTGTATGGTATTGAAGGACGAATCTCTTTAAGAGGAATATTGTGATGAAAAATCGAAGGAACTAGTCATCAGGCAAAAAATCACATTACCAGCGCCACAAAATATTTTGCATTTTATCACAGTTCTAATAAAAAAGATTTAATAGATAGATGCAAATAATTATTCAAACTACCTATCAGTAAGAAATGCCTAGTACACATTTTAGAAAATTATTATTAGATAAGATGTAAAAGCTGATACGATACATATACAGGGTAGTCCGTTAAGCGCGCCTTGCTCTCTAGCGATCTTGCCGTTGAAATTGGAAGCAAATGTTTTTAGTAAAAAACGTCCCTGGTCAAATGGTTCATTTGCGGAAAATAATTTCTGTAGCCGAAAATACATTCTGTCATGTTTATTCGAATTATTGACAAAATTACTTAAACTTCACACAACACAAACAATTAATGACTTCACTTGCAGAATTTTCTCAAAATGGTTTATTGCAGAAGTGAATAAAACTCCGATATCGAACTAATGACATTAATTGTTTGTGTTGTGTTGAGTTTGAGTAATTTTATCAATAATTCGAATAAACATAATATAATGCCCATGCCGTCCAGGATCTATCCGTTTTCTTTGTATATTACACAATAATTAACTAATCGCAATTATTTTGAAAACCGTCAAACGTAGACCGTAATATGCCTTAATAAAATCGAAAGAGAACTTAATTTTGTATCCGACGATGTCAAAATGAGTTATCGATGTTTGAAACATGTAAAATTTGAACATTACTGGTGTAACAATTTAAGGTGCTTTGAAGGAAAATTTTAGATGGAAAGCCAGGTGCGTTTCTTTGTTCTTTTCAACAGCAGCAGCCGCATCTTTTTATCGAGTATAAATGCCGAGATATTAAAATTTTTGTACTACAAACCATAAATTTTCTAGAAATTACTAAATAATTCTAAAAAGATACCGTGCTCGCAAAAACTACGATTAACAAACTGGACATTAAAACTGATGCTGAATTCAAAAATGTACAGGGTGTTCCATTTAAAATAAGGCAGCGGATGTATACTTCCGGTACTGAAAAAAATTTCTTCCAATTTCAACGGCAAGATCGCTAGAGAGCAAGGCGCGCTTAGTGGACTACCCTGTACACTAGTACATATATCCTAAGCTAAGGAATATGGAAAATAAATATTGTAGACATCTTTGTATAGGTACATTTAAAAAGCCTTCCTAAAAATGCCTTAGTTTGGACAAAATTACAGAAGTGAAAGCAAGTAAACGTTTAATTATTTATTTATCAACTACCGTGTGTTGTGTCCATTTGAAACTTGAGGAATTAATTTTTTACTTTTTAAATAGAACCTACATAATGGACGCTTTCGTTTATATGCTATCGTATTTGCCTATGTTTTAGCATTAATTAAATTAATGTTCGTACATATCATTAGAAATTATAAAGCCACAATAATTAACTTATTATTGTTTTTTTATATAGTATAAACAACATGAGCANAATTTTACTAGCCGTAGACGATTGTAACACGTTTTCATCTGGCAACCTTCCAAGGTGAATGTCTCGCCTGGAACTAGGTGCACTAGGAGCCTTGCGACAAATATGTGTACATATACACGGTGTTGAATGATTTAGAAACAAAACTTGATGTAAAATTAAACATCTCGTGATGAGAGCCCCTAAGGAACCCCAGAACAGATTACGCTGAACTAAAACCAGAGCAGAAAATATTTTTCTCTAGACAATTTAATAACATCTTTCCTTTCAGACCCAGGACAATAAAAATCTTATATGTATAGTTAATCTAATTATTTAATTAATGCAGGTTCTCTCATTAATTTTGATAGGTTAAAATCTACCAATAATCATATTATTGCATTAAGTATTAATAAAAATTAAAAACCTTTATTGTTGGTGTTCCGGAAAAAGCTTTTTCTCCAGTGAGTCGAATTCCGCCATTTCTTCCCCTCCGTTCTGTTTGTAAAGGCTCGACAGGGTGTCAGTATTTATGCTGTCGTAAAACAGCCCTTGGCCACTGTCCGGACCGCCACCGACCTTCCACAGAAAAGTGTTGGCCGTTTGGAACCGATGACTACTCGAATTTTCCAGGGTGGTCAAAGCCGTTGAATTGACATTTTCATCCAAGTCCAGCGAATCCAGGAATTGCTCGGACGATGGGCTGTCGTTATATGAGGAGGGAGCCCATAGAGACCGATATTTTTCGTCGCAGGGGTTTGAACTTGTCTGTAATGGGTGGAGACGAACAATGAAACCTAACCATTACGATTAAACTTTCGTAAATGGACGTTCTCTGATCCTTTATACTCCCGAAATTGAATTTACTAATTTAGTTAAAATCAGAAAACGAATTTCAATTCGCCACGGCATTACATGCATATTATCGACTAATAATAATATTACTTGTAACTTGGCTTAGCTCTTGGTGAAACATTTTTCAAAATAATTCATGAAATAACAACTCTTGGTTTTGTTTCACTATTACACATATCATAAGGCCATCAGTCCTAAGACTGGTTGGACACGTACCTCCACTCTTTCCTATCCTGAGCTAAACTTCGCATTTCCCTAAAACTAGAACAGCCCACATCCTTAACTATTTGCGAAGAGTAACCTAATCTAGGTCTACCTCTACCCATCCTAACTCCTGTTTCTGCCTCTAATATGTCTCTGACTAGACCTTCATGCCTGAGAAGGTGTCCTACCAACCTATCTCGCCTATTTTTTATTGACTTCCACAGACTCCACTGTTCTCCTATTCTTTCCAATACCTCTTCATTTCTAACCTTTTCTACTCACGATATCCTCATCATCCGCCAATAACAGCACATTTCGAACTCTTCTAACCTTTTCTTTTCCGCCGCCCCCACTGTCCGTGTTTCGCACCCGTACAACGCCGTGCTCCAAACATACACCTTTAACAACCTTTTTCGAATTTCTAAATTAACCGTTCGCGAGCATAGAAGTGACTTCTTTTTATTAAAGGCGACACGACCCTGCGCTATCCTCTGCTTTATATCCCTACTACTCCTTCCATCCTGACTTATCTGACTTCCTAGGTATCTAAAATCAGCCACTTTATCTAATTTTTCGTCTCCTATCTTTATATTCGCTCTTTCCCTACTTTTTCCTCCCTTGTATACCAGTATTTTTGTTTATTTTCATACAGTACTGATCTGTCAGTACCGCTTCCATTTTATTTAAAGCTATCTCTAGGTCCTCCTTGCTAGATGCTAATACTGCTATATCATCTGCAAATCTAAGCATACTAATCTTTTGCCCTTGCACGTCTATCCCTTCAGTTGTACTGTCTTTAATGATGTTGATGGCGTCTTCGATATATAGATTAAAAAGTAGCGGTGACAGTGTGCAACTCCCTTCCTAATATTTACTTCTCTACGTTGCATCGCCAGCTCTATAAGTGCCTGTTGCTCTTTATACAAACTAAGTATCACTCTTCTATCTTTGTAATTCATCCCTACATTTTTAAGTATATTTAACATCACAAACAAAACAAAACCAAGAGTTGTTATTTCATGAATTATTTTGATTAATAATAAATAAACATTCTACTGTATGTTATATTAGAAAAATTATATTCAATTTACCTTACAAATTCAATGAATGGGCTTTTTTTCCAAAACAGTAAATCTTTTCGGTTAAAACAATTTTTTTTTGCAAATTAAACAGAATAACTTAAAGAAAGATAATTGTGCGCTAATTAGGTAATATTTACAACAGACGGAAAACATGCAACAAAGAGAAAAAGATTAACGAATAATACGTACCTACTAATCAGCAGGCATTTTAAGAGAAAAACTGTTTTACTACAAGTACCTAATTTTTCCCTTTCCATCCACAGGCTACAATTACGACAAAAATAAAGCACATCAATACTTAAAATATACATATGCAATGTGTTCATGTGTTCACGTTACACTTTCGTTTGTGTCAAGTGTGTAAGGGACAAATTATCTAACGTAAAAGTAAATCCGTTTCGGAGCGTTAAAGATTAGATTTGGATGCCAGCGAGACCTGCTCTCTAAAAGACACATTGCGCACGATATAATTTGCTTCCTGATAGCTGAATTATTTTCAATTTTACTAGCCGTAGACGATTGTAACACGTTTTCATCTGGCAACCTTCCAAGGTGAATGTCTCGCCTGGAACTAGGTGCACTAGGAGCCTTGCGACAAATATGTGTACATATACACGGTGTTGAATGATTTAGAAACAAAACTTGATGTAAAATTAAACATCTCGTGATGAGAGCCCCTAAGGAACCCCAGAACAGATTACGCTGAACTAAAACCAGAGCAGAAAATATTTTTCTCTAGACAATTTAATAACATCTTTCCTTTCAGACCCAGGACAATAAAAATCTTATATGTATAGTTAATCTAATTATTTAATTAATGCAGGTTCTCTCATTAATTTTGATAGGTTAAAATCTACCTGAATGTGTACCAGTAACACGGTTTGCAAATCATTAAAAACTTTCCTGCAAACATCACCTACAGTAACAGTTAAAATGTATTAGAATTTACCGTTAATTGTCAACGTAGTAATTGATAAATTCCAGTGTGTTATTAACTGGTATTAAGTATATGTCTCAAACTCTTCATTACCATCTAACGGTAGCTCCTATAACATTTTCCCAATAATTGTACGATCGTTAAAATGCAAATAAAACAGCTTAATATAAAGCACCTTTTATAAATAAATTTAATGCGCCAAGCACCGATTTCAATTGCATAGGTACATGAAAATCCTTACGATAATCCACAACAAAATTTCAGAAAATTTGTAACACACATTTTGTAGTTTATTGAATAATTAAAACGCAAAACAACTTCCATTAATATGCTAAAAAATATTCAATTACATAGATAAATTTGCTTGTTTTGTATTTGTTTAATTAATATAATATGTTTTGGTCCGACTCTAATTAAACTATTATTTTCCGCTGAACTTGTTTTCAAACAAAATAATGGCGAATGATAGTAAAGTAGGTTAATAACCGGTCATCATAACTACATACATAACAGCGAATTAAATATTTAACAACAAACCGTTGAAAGGATGAAAAAGTTTCCTGGGTGGGTACACGATTTTACACTACCTACATCTCATTAGGCTGTGACGAAAAACAAAATAAACAAAAATAAATGCACGAGTGGGTTTGCAGTGTGCGCTGAATCGAAGTCTCGGTGTAATTTTAATATTTACGAACCAGGACTAATCGCTGTGGCCTGTGACTACCGGAAACACGCGCCGTGCAACCGGATACCATCATGGGATACTATTATATGTGGACAAAAAGTTGCCGACCAATTGTATCGGACAGCAGGTGGGAGATTGAATTGTTTTTTGCAATTTTCAAAAAATTAATGTTTTGGTTTGTAGATTATTTAAATATTTCTTTCAAATTTTCTTCTAGGCACGTCACAAAAACGTAGCAGAAGTTTTCGTGTGGCCAATCGGCCCGCAGTAATTTTTAATGAACGTAGAATGCCAACACCCTTATGTTGATACGTGTATCTGCGACCTAAGCAGAGAATACTTCCGAATTGCTATTATTTTTACTTTCCAAGTCCCATGGACAAAGAAACCCAATAAATGATGTACTGTAGACCGCAAAAGCACATACTTACGTGACTTAATTGTTCCGTAATAAGCGCATGCCGTAACAGCATACAAGGATCGTTCAAATTTTTCATATTTCGCGAAAATAATTTCTACATTATGCCTTCGTTAAAAAAAAAAATCGGTTGTCTGTAAAGTCGGTTTACTGACGATAGTTGAACGTGACAACGTCATAAGAAAATAGTGATGGAATGGTTCATTTTTCAAAAGAAAATTTTAATTTTATTTGTTTGATAGATATTTTTTATGGATATAGAGGAGGTAAATGGAAATGTATTATTGTATAGCAGCTGTCCACGCGGACGCATCGCTCACTCAAGTAGGAGAGAGACAGATGTCGAACGCTGCCGAACGCGGAGGCCGATTGTGCCTCTTTGTCGCTCGTTCCGCGCTATCGCTTGCACTTCAAGCCTTAAATGGAACGCCTCAGAGCGAGATAACGCCGCATGAGTCATGTTTTTTCGTGCGTGCAGCCGGCTCTATCGAATTATAAGACGTTGTCATGTCAAAAATGTAACTGTTTTTGTAACATACACAAACGTTGAATTTATTAAATAATTATTCTGGTAGTAGATACGAGTACGATTTTGAACGACCCCTGTACGGCGTGGATGACAAGGTTGTGATTCCAGCAGAGCAAAGCGAAGAAGCAAAGCAAAAATAAGAAAATAAAAAAAAATAAAAAAACAAGCGGACTTACTGTACACTTAGAAGGCACAAAGGACCGCGAGAGGGGCTACCCCTAAGTGGCGCCGTTATCTAGTAGTTTCAGCCAGTTGCTCCAAAAGGACAGTTTGGGTCGTACCTTGGCATCGGTTGCGGGCGTGCTTCCCTCCCGTATGGAGCTGTTCCTCCTGACGGGAGTCCCAGGCTTTCTGAAACTTAGATCCCTCTTGGCCACGCTTCCACTGCCGCCCCTCAAGCTCGAATTCACTGGGGATTCCCGAAGTTTCGAGAACGAGTCGGAACTCCTGCGGCCGCTCAAGGAATCGCCCGATGTACGAACCTTTCCGGTAAGAGAATCCCGCGCGTTACTCAGCGAGTTTCGAGATTTGGAAAGTGACGTGGATGAGGCCGATTCCGACGTGGTCATCTTGGCCCTAAGTGACTGTGCTGAGGGGGGACGATCGCCGCTACGGCTACGTGCACCAGGTGCTGGACTGTGTTTACCTGGCGAGAAGCAGTTTAGCCATGAAGGAGGCGGATTGTGACGCTTTGGGGGGTGCTTTCGAACGGTTAGTTAAGTAATTGTGAAAAGCGTGATCGTTTGGTTGTCATAAACTACTAAGTTTGCCACCAGTGTCGAAACTTAAATGACCTCACTGGCGACAAACTTTTATGAAGAGGGCATCGAAACGTTGATGGTACGATATGACAAATGTACCTACTTCGATTTTTTTTTAGAAAAATAAGTAAAATAGTACCTACACATCTTTTAATTAATAAAATAATTTTTTGTCAATCCCATCAGCCTAGTATACATGGAGAAAGGAGTCATTACCATGACCACCCTTCAGGAAAATGTAATTCTTCTATGCGAGTTTTTTGTTAAACAACATTAATTTCTTGATAAATGAATGTATCTAATTCTATTCCTTATTTATATTAAGGAATCTATTAATTAGTACATTAAAAAGTTTCGTAATTAAAATATACAACTAGCATCACCCAATTTTCAAATAATTAGCAATCTGTTTCGTTTTAACTGTTCACGGCTCCAATTTAAATTAATTCTGTAACGATTACAGTAATATTCTAATGGGCAATAAAAACGCTAAAACTTTTATTTGTTACAACATAACATCTATCAAACAAAGAGAATAAAAAAGAACGCGTACTTTCCACAGAGTTTGAAGAAATCCATTTGATTACTGACCAAATTTACACTCAACCTCCGCCAGAAAGGAAACGAAACAGCAAGTTTTCCACTTCCTTCGAATAATTTGTTTAAGCAACACAACGCAACCACTAGCTAATAAGTGATTAAGAGAAAAAAATTTGCAATATCCTCACTTTGCTCAAACGTGTTAGGCACTGGTGATTTTTTTTTCTTTCTAGATGGGTTTAGCAATCGTCGCTTTTCTATGAAATTTGCATGTAATTACGCGTACAAAAATAATTGAATCGTCACCCAAGTAACACTCAAATATTCTAAATATCTTTCTACAATAGCCGACACTAAAATACAACTAGACCATATGTAATAAAAATAATGATGATATTAATATGTAAGTAGATTGTAATGTAATTTTGTGGAGCTATCTCCTCTCATGATACAATCATATGGAATTACCTGACTGGGCGCTTTCCATGTTTATCTTAGGCCTACCTTCGATACACAGAATGTTACGGTTTTAATCAGAATTTTTTCAATCATTTCGGCACGGATTAGCGCTTGGTTAAAACAACATGAGTACATACCTCCAGGAGGTTTCGGTGCCGCGTAGCTCTTCACCAATGGTATTTTGCTGGGTTTCCTCCGATGAGTTTGAACTTCTCCGCCGACAGAAGACGATTTCCTGGTTACAGGTGTTGCGCCGGACTCATGATGGGCCTGGTCGTGGGCGCTTTCGGTACTACTGGAATGGTCTAAATGGTTCATGGGAATGGGACTCATGGCTTTCATGCTGGCCGTTGTTATTTCGGTTCGCGACAGGCGATCTTCACGATCCGGCGCGATCACCGAACTCACGGCCATGGAATCAGTACTGGGGATGACGTCGGGGGAGGTTGTAGGAATTGGACGTTGTAATTGTTCAAACATTCGTACACGAGCACGTGTGCCTTCCAACTCGATATTCTTGTCCTCCAACTGAAACGAAGGAAGACACCTTTTCTCTTTCTGTTTTGCTTTGTTTTTTAAGATACCTATTAGGTGTATATATCTTCCTTCTCTTAATTAATTCAGAATTATCTTAATCCCTGTCTCAATTTGAAATCCTGTTTGACAAATACTATATCCAACCATGAAAATCACTTTAAACGATAACCAATTAAAAACAAATCCTATTAAAAAGGATTTTAAACTAGCACTATTATCTGTACTCAGTTTGTCCGTTCAAAACAGTCAATCAACAAGTGTTAATTGGTAATTATCTGTAATGCATACACCATAAAATTATTTCCAAAATAGAAGTACACTAAAAGAACAACAGATAACAGTATACACTTAACTGAATTGATTATCGAGTTTGTTTTTATGATTTAATTAATCCTAAATATAAGTATAAAAGAGAATACATAAAAGGCACTTGGCATTATATAGAACAAATTATCCTTTTTATTTACTTTGCAATAGAAATTAAATATATGTATTGCAGGCACTCTATCGTAATAAATTCTTATGTATGACTTCATTTTCTGGTTATATATCATAGTCGATGACAAAATCATAAAAGAATAGATTATGAAGTCTTTGAAAGTATTTGTAAAAGAATGCAAGGCCTTTCGCATATCAAAACACTTGTTGCATTATCTTATATTGCCTATAAGTATTTGACGTACGACTGATTTGATTACACAATAATTCGTTTGAAAAAATTGAAGAAAACACCACACGTATTTACTAATCATAAATATAAGGTTGAGTGAGCAGCTTACCTGAAATTTTAGTTCCTCGTTCTCTTCCCGTGCTTTATCAAGTTTGTCTACTAAAGATAACTCTAATCTAGCAGCTGTATCCAGTTGTTGTTGAAGTATCTGAAACAAAAGAAATGCTTCTATGAGACAACCCAGTTGAAACAAAGGAATAATTTGACATTGTACTGTTTTTACTGGCATCATCCATCAGTCTTGGTGTTTTGCATTATTTTTATTTAATAACCAATTAGAAAATAAAGCATTCACAAAGCTTCGGTTAAATTATCCAATTTTATACGCAACTACTGAGTAGTTCAAGAATGGACGAATTAATTTAGTTTTTCTCACGGCATTTTTCTTTTGTTCTGAAACAAATTAAGTAATATTGATACACACTATACTTCCTTGAGATAATCTTTATTACGTATAGCCAATGTACATTGTAGATTAAGATGACGGATAAATCTTGATTAAATACTCAAATTTACTGCAGTCTAATTAACGCATTGCGGTTTTTGTTATGTCGTGTAGCAAGAGTGTTTTTCTTGTAAATACAATTAAAATTTAATAAAAAGCATTTCAGACAGTTATGGCAATAATGCAAAACCCTTATTCCCAGCGTGGGACCTACGTCCTACAAGGGAGCAATTAAAAAATGGACTCATTCATAGTTTAACTGTACGGTGGCTGCAGGATTAGCAGGCTTAGAAAGAAAAGCCGAAAATTATATTGTTAGTCGTTATTGGCCGTCTTCAAGGGATCAATAACCGGCCTTTGTCCTTGCCAAGTTTAGGGACTTAGGAAAATTCCTTAAAAACAATTTCTAATATGTACTTACAGAAGAACCAAACATATGTATTATCAGAAATCATTGATCCATTACGTGTGGTAAATAGCTAAAAACAACACCTAATAATTACGTATATGTCAATAGATTACGCATGAATAAAAATAAAAATCTTTTTACCACAAATTGTGCTAATAACGATTTTCTATTAAGTATTTCCCTTATATGACTTCATCTGTAGTTGCTTAAAATATCTATAACTACAATATTTTTTGTGGAAATTCTTACGATCAATTCAATAGCAACAAAAACGTTAGATAGATAATTCCCACACAAACTATAAGGTCGACAATATAATTCTAGGATATAGAGTAAGAAAAAAAAGGATATGACACACAAGCAAGCTTTATAATATCCAATGAAAGTAAGAATAAAATTTATATTAATATTAAAACAAGGATTTACAGTTCTTTTAAGTTTGAATTTCAACAAGCGCAAGCCCTTAGTAAAACCAATTTCAGAGGTCAGAATTCCATGCATATCTAAAAAATATTCAATAACGAAAAAAGAATAATATCGGGAATCCACTAATTTTTCGATCTTTATAAGGAAAACGTGATAAAAACAAAGGCTACGGTAGTTATTAATTAGAAGGTTAAATTACGTGAAAACAATGAGTTGTTTTGCAGTATTTATAGCAAGGCTAACGACAGCTGCCTTTTTATAAAACAATACAACATAATTTTGCAATAACTCATTTCATTCTGTTTTAAATAACGACTTTTCTCAAATGTGCAACTAACAAGCCTAACTTTTACATTTAAACGCTCTTAAAAAGTTTTAAAACAAATAAATTTTCTAATTATATGAGGACTAATTATAGAACAAAATTACTTCTGCTGAAACTACTTACTAACCTTATGCATTACGTCAAAAAAGAAAATTAATTCAAATCCGTCAAAAAATAATGAATTGATGGAAAATACCGTGGAATGTATGCGAAACTAAAATTTTTTTTAACCGATACAAGGGTTATTTATGAGGTGCTATACCCCTCAATATTGGATTACTACTCACCATGGGAAGTTCTTGTTGTTCCTCAATTATTTACATTTTAGTGGAAGCATTTCTTGTCCCACAATAATTTTTTGTTTCTAAGTTCTGCGAGTCATTTATAAAAGGATTAAACTTATCCGATAATTTGTCAGCGGGTCTAACGGTTATTTAAGGGGTACCAAACCCCTTAACATTAAATTATTATTTTCCAGTGGAAGTTTTCCCTATACCACTATAATTTTTTTATATCTATGCTCTGTGATACGTTTGTAGAAGGATTATTCCTATGCGATAATGTGTCAGCGGGTCTAACAGTTATTTAAGGGGTACCAAACCCCTTAACATTAAATTATTATTTTCCAGTGGAAGTTTTCCCTATACCACTATAATTTTTTTATATCTATGCTCTGTGATACGTTTGTAGAAGGATTATTCCTATGCGATAATGTGTCAGCGGGTCTAACAGTTATTAGCGGGGTACCAAACCCCTTAACATTAAATTCTTATTTTCCAGTGGAAGTTTTTCTTGACCCACAATAATTTTTTGTATCTAAGCTCTGTGAGACATGAGCAGGCCTGAGGGTTAATACACCACCTAAGATGATAATAGCTATAGAGGCCACCAGAAGCATATTGATAGTATTAATTTTCGAAACCTTCTACTAAATGAGAAGCAGTAGCTTCTCCTTTATCTTTAATTAAAAATAATCGATAATTTGGTAGCTCTCTACATTATATTCGAAATACGAAACTATACATCGGTAGAAAGTGTTTGTGGGACAATCGCTAACAATTATAATTAAAACATCGACTTGCTGGCACATTAAACGTGTTGAGGCATGACACATTGATTATTGATACCCACCAGTAGCGACATTATTAATGAAAGTAGGTAGGTGCATGTACGACACGCCCGGCACTCTTCAATATTAATTACGTCATGACATTAAAAAGAAAAAAAAAACGGTAACATTTCTTCAAGTGCCATAAAATTTTTCAATCCGACCACGCAGTAGTAGTAACGTAATCAAATAGAAAATTAGTATTCATTGTTGGAAAAACAGTCAAAGATTCGACCATTTTTCAATTCACACTATTAATACGCCTCATCGTTATTTGTTGTGGTTGTTATTGTTATTACAACTGTTACGCAGTTCCTACATCAATAACAATACTAACTGACTTGTTGATAGCAAGACGATTGTGTAAAATTGAAACAATTTAGAAATTGGCAATTATAGTTCAATGACGTAACCAGAAACAATTACGCAAAAATTAAAACACGGAAAAAAGAAAACACGAACAACTGCACCGGATAATAATTGGTAACATACTGTTGTAATCTTCAGTAAAAATTTCACGCATCGGGTACTTTTTTTTCGTTTAGTTCTACGTAACAATATACGGCACTCATTTTACTTCTTTGAAGATTTTGTATGATATTTGTATGCCAAACTGTTTTACATTATTAGTTTGTATTTTTGGAGAAATGGAATTGTATTCATTATAGCATTTAATTATTTCATGTGTAATACGGTCTTTACTAGAAATGGACCAGGCACCCGGTTTGGATCTGGTAGTACGGGATAACACCATCACAGGTAGGAGTATCAGACACAACCATTTTTAAAATTGTTTAAGATCATCTTGGCTAGACTAAAGTCAATGCAAGATGGGTACTGAGAATGCTCACCTCGCCTCATAAACAACAGCGTGTGAAGTGTTCTCGAGCGTTTTTGGACGTATGGACTCGAATTGTTACTGAGAACGAAACTTGGGTTCATCATTATGAATTTGAGTCCAAGTAGGACTCTATGCAGTGGCACAAAAAGCACACCACCACCCAAGAAGTTTAAGGTGTCATGGTCGATTGAGAAAATCATGGCGATAGTGTTTTGGGACTCAGACGGAATCCTGTTGATCCATTATAAAGATAAAGGTATCTCGATAACCGGAGAATACTATGCTTCAATCCTAGAGTGGTTAAAGGAAGCAGTTAAGGAAAAAAGAAGAGAGAAATTGACTAAAGGTGTCGTCCTTCTGCACGATAACGCGCCTATTCACAAGAGTCGTATTGCGGTGGCTGCCCTGCAGAAGGTGGACTTCGAAATTTCGGCTCACCCACCCTACAGTCCTGACCTAGCTCCCAGCGATTATTACCTATTCTCAAACTTGAAAATAGTCTTCGTGAGAAGAAATTTTCAAGCGACGAAGAAGTGAAGGGTGCAGTTTAGGGTAGCAGGTGAATATTCATACTTTTATTTATCTACTTCTTACCGCCCCATTCGGCGAACTTGTTAGTATGATTTTGTCACCCTGCAGACTTTTAGTGTTTATAAACATTGTAGGTTCGTTTAATTATTTCTCAACACGACCTTCTCGCTGAAAATCTAGGAGCCCAGAATTAGAATTTAGTTGGCTTAGTATTTAAACAAGACTTAAGATTGTTCGGGACGTTAGTGAGGGTGGCATTTAATTAAAAGTCAACCCGAAAGAAGACATGAACCATTAACAGTAGTAGTTTTACGGGGTTCCCAGTTTTATCGCATCTAATATTTTATGGATTTCTGTGCCGCCATGAAACTTTCTATCCAATATGCTTGAAGAAATACAATTTGAAGAATAAAAACGATAATAAATAAGTCAAGCTTCACGTATATCCTGAATCCGACTTTTTTCACGGTTAACGCGTTTTATACTTGATCGCTTCTCGTAAGTTTAGGTACATAAATTATCCAATCCTCTCTCAGATTAAAACGGAAAACGAAGCTATTAAACAGGCTTAATTGCCTCCATTGTTTAGATTATGGCTGCCAAGAAACGGCTATGACAAAGTTATGGCAATTAAACGTGCATTCAGGTTTTTCCTTAACGAGTGGAAACTGACTCGAACATAATAGGTGCGTTTGCAGGACCTATAGATTTAAGAAAAAAAGTGAAAGTGTATTAAGAAATTGAGAAAATAAAATTAATCGAATTAATTAAAACTAACTACAAATAATTAATAGGGTTTAATTACAACATAGTAACACGAACGGACTCAATTTTGGTACATGTACAGAAAGAAATTTCTAAAAATGATTTCTATCATTACTGCGAGCTTCTGAAACTTGAGATACCCTGCTACAATCATGTTTAATCATATTTGTAAAAAGCCTAACATATTACAAGATTGCATGTATCAATTTTTACTACACATAATCCATAAGATTACACATATTGTAACATGCTAACAAAAAAGGTTTATCCTTTATTTCTAAAATGCAGTGTAACTTATCGATAATTTGTTGTCATATTATAATGAACAATAAACAAACTATAATTTGCAGCTACACGATGGTACTTTTACCTACTATGTCGCTAGTTATTAGCATTCCTATTTGAATTTCAGAACAAGGGTGGCGGATAAGAGTGCAGTAGCAAAATTATTGTGAAAAAACATGAAATATCTTGATTGGCATTCATTATTTTGGAAAGAGTTTTAGACAAAAATTGTATGATTTTTCGAAGGAGGAAAACGGTAGTAATCTTGATGTGCCCATGTCCATGACCTTGGAAGTAATTGGAAGATCAAGCCATTATTTTAATAGGAATAAATTCATATTTTCGACCTTAGCAAAATAGAATAAGTGGGAAAGACAATCGGATATACCTCTGAGGATGATTTCCTTTTACTTTTTCATATTCTGAATCACACTTTTTTTGCAAGTCTACTTCATCCCTGCCCGTCGCCCCTTTTGTTTCAACTCATCTTTCAGGAATTCAGTTAAGTGCACCACTGTCTACATTTCTATAAATTTTTGAGCAACAGGGCGCTTTCACCTTCTGTATTTACCCTTTATTCCTAGTAATCTATACGCCTATTCAAAAAAATGACAACCCCTTGTACTATCGGAATTTTGTTCGTATTCCAGATGACGCAGAAATCTAGTGGCCGTCAGCTATCCAACTATTAGAACACTTACAATTAGTTAGAGAATTAACCGACATCAACAGCATTTAAGATTGTTCCTTGCGGCAAGAAAATCAAAAAGTATAATTTTTCCATTGTCCTTTTTGTACTTGTAAGAGCCCAGGTGTGTTTTATTATAGGTACCCAACTGACTACATAAGAAAGAGAAAACGTGACGATATCACATCCGACGTAGGTACCATTTTTAAATGCGATAGCAAGCGCACTTTCGCTTGAAGCGGTTTACAATGAATATAAAAAAAGTATAATAATAATAAACGCATGGGTTGTGATGATCATTATGATGATGATGATGATTCACTTCGTGGTGGGCGCCTCTCAGCTCGTTTCCCTAGTTCGTTCAACAACCGGCTTCGCTAATTTAAAATTCGCGAAACAGACAAGAGAGGAAGAAGACAGAGAAAGAGAAAGATGTAACGGCACATTTCCTTATACGTACGATTCACTCGCGAGCGGGTCGTGAACCTGAATCATTTATGGCAACTGGGACAATAAATCTTCGTGACAATATTGTTGTTTAGTTTGTCTTTGTACCAAACAGCCGAGGTGTTAAATGTACTGCTACATTGTGTTCATACAATACACACTTCCACACGTTGCAACTACATTTTTACCTAAATTAAAAATAGAATAACATGAACTCATACAAACATCGACGATAAGGTAGACGATACGAAAATAGTAGCGAAAACTTTTAGTTTTATATGATGATGATGATGATGACGATCATCTAAATCATCATCATCGTAGGTCAGGCATGAAGGTCTAGTCAGAGACATATTAGAGGCAGAAACAGGAGTTAAGAGGAGTAGAGGTAGACCTAAATTAAATTACTGTTCGCAAATAGTTTAGGATGTGGAATGTTCTGGATTTAGGGAAATGAGAAGATTAGCTCAGGATAGGAAGAAGTGGAGGTGCGTGTCCAACCAGTCAGATGATGATCATAATTATAGGATCATCGATGCTCCACATCACCACTCCTATCCTGAGCTGAACATCATATTTCCCTAAAACCACATCTCCTTATCTATATGTGAACGCAGTAGCCTCTACATCTTTTAACTACTCATGAATCTAAAATTTATCGAACGGATCTTGATAAATCGTTTAGATGAAGGTCGCTGGAGTTGTATCGAATTGTGAAGGGCAAAGATTATGAGTAAAAAGCTACAAATAATAAAACAATTAACGTTAAAGCCGTTCTATGATCTTTACAAATTTCAACTGCGGCATGTTGATGAAAACCGATAAGATCAAAATCGTGATGATCCAGGCCTAACAATTTCGGTAAACCATTGATAAATTGAACATACGAAAAACAACCAAACAATAAATATTTAACACAATTTCCCTAATTTTATTGTCTCCACTGTTGAAAGAGTTTTGGCAACTTTCAAAAATATCAGTTTCAGGCTGGCAGGTGAAATTTTGTGAGAGACTTTGATCCTCTTTCATACGAACATCTGGATCGTCCATATAAATAAATGAGTAGCATTAAAACTTCAAGAGAAATGCAACAACATCTGGTATTGTAATTTTGCGAAAGGATTAACTGCCAACAATATACATGCATGTACGTACCTAAGTCTACAATGAGAAGAAACTCGGGCATCTAAAGATGTAAGTGTACCAAGCACCATACGCGCACTTCTTGGAAACACTTAAGTGCTTGATATTCATTTTAAGAGGTACTGAGAAACACTTGTACCCGGGAGTGTATTTTCTAAAAACATTTTCAAATCCATTTTCTTGAGGAAGAATACTCAAATATCCGAATATTACAAACAACAAATTAAATGGCATTGAAACTGTCAAATTCCAAAGAATTTCAAATGGTAATAAAGTTAAGAAAAGACACACCCTAAATACAGTGCCTAACAGTAAATCGTAAATTTTTCAAGTGGTATTTGAAAAATTAAGGATCTTGTAAAGAATCTGTTTCTACAATAGAAAATACCACAAATGGCGAGGTAAACGCCATCTGTAGTTCAATGCTACATTTTAGGATTACGTATGCTCCAACAAGGTCCATTTAAATATTTGGATATCTACTTGCTGAAACGAATCTCAGCGTAGCTAACCTCAACGTGATAGACACGTTGCCATAATCGAATAAAATAATTCGAAGTGGTCTGTATTCTGTCGAAACTGCTTCGAATTATTTTATTCAATTATGGTAACGTGCCTATCACGTTGAGTTTAGCTACGCCAGGATTCGTTTAAGCAAGTAGATATCCATATATTTAAATGGACCTTGTTGGAGCAGAATGCTAAAATGCAGCATTGAACTACAGATGGCGTTCACCGCGTCATTTGTGGTATTTTCTAAAACGCGCTGTTAAGATAGCAGGTAAAAGTTGGTCTGTGTTCTGTCGGAGCTGTCTACGACGCGCTCGTGAGATCCAAAAAGATCGAAATCGCGATCCGCGTCTGGCAGTTTCGACAGAATACAGACCACTTCGAATTATTTTATTCAATCTGTTTCTAAATCCAAAAAACAGAGTAGGGAAAAGCAATGGTAAAAATCCTACCTGATTTTGTACAGTAGACGTAAGAAGGTGCCTCTGCAACACGATGGGGTCGTGTTCCTTGAGGATAGCTGCCAGTTTCCTGGAGTCAACCGTTTTACTTTTAGGCACTTTGTCCCCGAGCACTGTGTCCAGGACGTGTCTGGACGCTTTCTTACTACGCCCGGTACCACTACTTCCGCATCTTTGACTAGAACCCTTCGAAGAACCCGCACTGGTCACCGCAGTCACGTCACCACAACTATTATCACTACTCGCGACGTTTCGGACACTACTTTCGTAACCTCCGACGGGAGAAACGGTACCGGTCGGACTCCTGGCCACGAATTGCGAGTGTAAATCGTGAATGCGAGTGTTCACCGCGCCACTTTGCGTCTTCACAGCCTTTAGTTGCTCTTCGAGCTCGGTCTTGGCGACCAGGAGGTGCTCCAGGTCCTCCTGGAGACGCGAAGTATGCACCCGACCGGCTAGCACTTCCGCTTCCATTTCCGCCACCCTGTCGAGAAGGAGATCGCGTTCGCGACGGAGATGGCGGACATCGTCTGCACTAGAATGGACAAGTGCCCTTTGAAAATCGATTTCAGAATCATCACTCCGTATTGAACCTTGCAGAGCGTCTAATTCTTCTTTTAATCTCGTACCTTTTCGATGAATTACGTCTAAAAGATTCCAAAGCTCGTCTTCGGCTTCGTCAGGATTACCTGTGGACAAAAAATCTTCAGCTAGAAAAACCTATCATAGTATAATTTGAAATTTGGTTTGACCCCATTGAGAAATACAGGAAGATATGGCAATTTTCTCAAAGAATATTGATACTACAATTGTCATGGTTGAAGAAAGATGAAAGCAGTTAGCTTCTTCACAAATTTATTTAAAGATTTTTGGCAAATGTCGAAGAATTAGGCGTTACCTAATTAAGAAACCTATTAGGTATATAGAATTTCTGACATCTCCTTAATGATTTGAAATATTGAAATCTATTTATTTCTATTTTTGCTGCGGTCTGTTTTTTTACGATCATTTGGCGAAAGAACCGACTTTAAATTCAAGACTCTATCATCACCACTTTGGCCTGTTTTTTTTATATAGCTTAGTTCTTTATTAGTATATCTACATCGTTTTTTAACATCAGCACACTTTAGCTAAGGAAAACGCCAATAAATTATTCAAATTTATGCCACACAGTAGTTCGTATACTTGTCGTAGCGGAAGACGGTTCGTTTAATAATTGGTCATAATCATACTATTTTACTTTATAAATTAACGGTAGTAGACTCTTTCTACAGACTGCATATTATACTAAACGCAGTGTAAACAAATTACCTACATAATTTCAGAAGTGTATTTGTTGCACTTAGCAAAGATCAAAATTATTATCATATGTATTAAGGAAGAACGACGCCTATAATAATGAGGGCGAAACTAAAAGGTTATGATAGTTTTTTAGCATTATTGTCAATGGAGTTTAAAGTATATAGGTACAAGATGGATCCTAAATTTTATTTATAGAACACGGGAATTTCCCAATCACATGCTTTTAACCATCTGCGACATAACTTTGTAACTAAATATTCAAAGACTATGGCGTGTGGACGCCATCTTGGTGATGACAGCTTCCGTGGTGCCATTTGCAACTTTTACCACTTTAACTTCAAAGATTTACAATTCATTAATGTGTATAAATTATTTGCAAGTTAAATGTACATTAGTATAGAATCCACCTTGTTTGGAGAATTACAGAAAATACATTGAGAAGGGAACTAACCTGGAGGAGGGGCACTTGATGAAGCGCTATGGGTTTCCTTGGAGGAAGCTTCGGTACTAAACCCCGAATCTTGCACGGTGACGTCACTCTTTTTAGCACTGCCACTACGGGGCTCGTCTTTCAAACCTAACTTTCGTCTCGACCGTATCCCCGGTTCCCACTCTTTACGGACGGCAACGGGAATATTGGAACCGGGACTGACGCCACCGCCGCTGACTCCGCTACCGGACGCGATCGCGGCCGCAGATGCGGCTGACGCGGCCATCATGGTGTTCGGCGACGAGCTGGTTTGAAGTTTCGTGCGCAAGTTCGGAAACGTCTCGATGACGAGATCGCGAAATTCGAGCAATGCGCCAACTTCATGCTGCAATTCTTGTAGTGCCACCAACGACTTGGCCTGTTCGCTGATCAGGTAGTGAAACGGGCCTGCAGATTGACGCAACTGCAAGCAGTCCATGCCGCCAGGACCCCCTGGATCACCACCACCCTGAAACAAAAGAAAACAACTGTCAAAAATATCGAACTGACGCAAAATGTAGATGAAGAAAATATAAATTTACATGTCATCATAAGATCTTCTGTCCCAAGACTGATTAGACACGCATCTACACTCTTTCCCTATCCTAAGCTAATCTTCGTATCTCCCTAAAACCAGAACACTCCACATCATCAGCAACTAATCTTTTCTTTCACATACAGCTAAGGGAATTTTAAGACTGTTGCAGAAAGACAACTTAGGACTGTAAAAGTGGTGGATGGAGTCGCAAATAAGTCAACAGTTAATTTGAATATTAGAAATATATTATTAAAAGTGATGCTTGTTTGGATCATGGCCCTCTGTAGGTGAAAAACGTGGATGATGGGAGAGGTGGAAAGAAAGGCGCTCGAAGTGGTGTTGCCAATCAGTCTTGATGATGCAAATGCCGTAGTTGGAAGAAAAGATTAAAAATGAAGACGTATTGGGGCGAGTATGAAAACAAGAGGGTATTATGGAAATTAATAAAGAAAAGAAATTGGTAAGGCACCTTCGCAGACATTTTAGGAGTAAAGGGTAGCAGTGGAAGAGCTATATTACAAATAGTTGGAGACATTCCACTTTTGAAGCAATGAGAAGATCGGCTGAAGATTAAATTGAAGAATTGTAAAGTTTTTTTTTTAATTTCGCAAATAGTTAGGGACGTGGGTTGTTCTAGTTTTAGGGAAATGCGAAGATTAGCTCAGGATAGGAAAGAGTGGAGATACGTGTCCAACCAGTCTTATGTTAGGACTGACGATCCTAAGACGACGATGAAGCATTAAAGGGCCAATGTATTTTCTATTCGATTGAACTAAATTTAACTAAAGAACTAAATGCCCCGGAACTTTTATTACTTTTTGCCACTAGAGCTATTCGAATTTCGAAGTCAAAAAACCAACATAGCATATAACATACAGTTAGACTTGACTAAAGTAAAACGTTATTTATAAGAGACTAACAATTTCCAGCTACAATTCATCGAGTTCCTTGGGTCTTAACTCTTAATTTTTTCGATCGAACCACCATGTGTTGCATGTTCTGCTTACCGGAGCTCAACTTTGTATATGGTGTATTACACGAGGCGATATGGGCATGGAGCACACATTATGCAAGTTTGAAAGGATATACAGGGGAGTTTTTGTTCGATAAATACACAGAAACACACAAACATACACGCATGTCTATACGTACATATTTATGACACAACAGATGTAACGCATTGTGTGTGAAACGGAACAGTTGGATACGTAACAGACAATACAACAAAAAAGTAAAATAATCAATTCCATCAATCTATACACACTTTTAACTATTAGGAGGAAGCAAGCAGATTAATTTAATCGATCCAGTCTACGCACAAATACAATCGATTCTACAGAAAGCATCGGAAAAACTTGAAAAATTTCTAAATAAGCGAGTTGCTGAATTTTATTCTTCTTTACCGTATGTACTAGTTTTGAAGAAGAGAGCGAATCATGATGTAAAGTACATTTATGATTCGATGAAGAGGCAGGCTTTTATTTTATCTTAATTGGTAGATACGTATTACGTGCATTATTATGCTCGAAATAGCAAAATTAAATTACAATTGAAAAGGTTCGACCTTGGTAGTCGCCATTCTGTGTGCTTCCCATCGGTTTTTACCGCATCAGAACTAATCACAAAGCGCTTTAGTAATAAAAACGTCATTATCGCGTCATCCTTGTACCAGTTTTTCAAAATACCACCGCCATTGTGGCTTGCAGTACCAGGAAAAGTAAAGATAACTGTTTATTGTCGTTTGTTATTACAATAAAACCTCGATTATACGTGGATGACCGAAAACCGATCCACTAAACGCACGGTATTTTTATACATAGAGGAACAAAAAATAATCGTGAAAGGGACGATCATCAACAATACCACCAATCAAGATTTTAATAGGCTCGTAAGTATAATAATTATTAATAAAAGATTTATGGGCCAATGACTTATCTTTTTAGTTTGTTTATGCTTACTTAGCATTACAATAAGAGATAGAAACAGGATAGGATATTGATTAGCATATTAGAAACCATATTGGTGAAACATATACGTACAAAACTCTCGCGAAAAAAAAAAATAAATACAACTTTCACCGCCTCTGTTTGCAAAACAAACAAAAAGAGCATACAATATCCGTCGAGAAGATGCTCTATTTACAACCGTTTTAAAAACATATGCTACCTACTTACTTTTTTCCATAATTAATAAGTTCATCTCTGTATGTAAATAAAAATATTTTTTCTACTCCTAGTTGATTAACAAAGCAAATTAGTATAAGTCTCATTTTCCTTAAGTATCTACATCAGGTCCATTACTGACTTCATTTTCAATAGGATTTTCATTTAGTTCATTATTGACTCAATTTGGGCAGAATTTTTAGAAAAATCAGATAAATTGCTGATAGTGATTTCGTATGCCGGACTTTCCCACCGCAGGCTCTTATATTTACCTTTACAAGAACCTATGCAATCCAAATTTACCAATTATTAGTAATAAATTGTGAACAACTTTCAATTAATGTATTTATTATATTATAGAACACTTCCTGATGGGCACTTTCAATTTTATCTGGGTTTGGTACTTCCTCCTTACATATCTGTATCAGTGCAAAGTAAGAGGCGATCTGTACATCGATTACACATCTTTTTGATCTTGTTTCATTCCGCTCCCACGCATTTTGTACTGTTATTACCATTACGCCTTTTGTAACTAATTGTAGATAAGTGTTACAACTCGAGTTAAAATCATTTCCGCCAATCTTACATTAATACGTTACATTAAACTTGCCATTAATAATTATTTATCAGCTGAAATGTAGCTGTAGTTCAAGCAATGGGTTCCAACACAAATGTAATGGGTTCAGTTTCCGCTGTTATTTGTTCAATTTCCTTCGACATTTTTTCAATGTTTTGTATCAATTTATACACTGGTAACTTCTCCCAACGTTCGCGTGCAGAATTACAACAATTATTTCAATTATAATTGCAAGCATTGGAAAAATAAGAAAAGAAAAATAGATGGGAAAGCGTCAACAGAAAACAATCAAGTACATGCAAACAAAATGTGATTGTTTTCAAGTAATTAAACATATTGTGACAGAAAACCCTTTTTGACGAAATTCTTTTTGTAATAAGATAATAATGGATAAATATTTATTGGCCATCGCCCACCACCACGTTTAATTTACGAACATAAGCACAGGATGTCCTATAATTTTCAACTTGTTTTGTAATTACAACACCAACACATCTCGAGAATCGCCCGTGCTGCTTTCTATGACTGGTTTCTCTTTAATAATAAATATAATTAACAGGCATTCCGTATTTGTCAACAAGTCTGGGCTATTTATCGTAGAAAACGTACATACAATAAAAAGATTCAATGAATAACATGGCGAAGGCTTGGATTGAGTGCGAAACGTGGGCAGTAATAATAACTATACCTACAACACCTCTAGAAGTAAAGAGGCGCGTGGGTGAATTGAGATTTGCTTAATAACGGAATCGATAATTATTTTGTAATTAGCGTCACCTGAAGATTTTAACAATAATATTTAAGTACAATAAAGAACGATGAAGAAATATCTATTAAAGTATATATTTGTATATTTAGTGTTACAGGCGAATGATTACGATACCGTGGATAGGGAAGGTTAGAAATGAGGAGATATTAGAAAGAGATGAAAGTTAATAAGAAATAGGCGAGACAGATGGCAGGATACCTCAGGCTTGAAGGGATAGTTAGAGACATATTAGAGTAAAAGAGTACTGTTCACAAATATTTAAAAATGTAGGATGTTCTGATTTTAGGGAAATACCTACAAAGAGTAGTTTAGGATAGAAAAAAATCAAGCAGTATTAGGAAAAGTTAGAGTAATGGCAATCAATGAATAAAAGGGAAAAGATGGTAGGACATCTTTTTAAAGATCTTGGGAAAAGCAGGAATCATGAAAGTACATGAGGAAAAGAGAAGAAATGGCAGGACATCCTTTCAAAAATCTTGGGAAAAGTAAGTCACGGAAGTCCATCAGGAAAAGAGAAAAGATGGTAGGACATCTTTTCAAAGATCTTGGGAAAAGTAAGTCATGGAAGTCCATCAGGAAAAGAGAAAAGATGGTAGGACATCTTTTCAAAGATCTTGTGAAAAGTAAGTCATGGAAGTCCATCAGGAAAAAAGAAAAGATGGTAGGAGAAAGATCTTGGGAAAAGTAGGAGTCTCGGAAGTCCATGATGAAAAGAGACAATCAAAAATCTGAAGACCAGTTACAGAAGTACAAGAAGCAAAAACAGTAAAGAGCAGAAAATCTGGATTAAATAATTGTTCCCAAATGGTTAGGGATATTCGATGTTAAAGAGTTTTCAAGCAATGAGAGGATTAAGAGAAGCAGAGACAGCTGACAGTAATCAAACTTGTTAGTTCGTAATTCATATCACGACCGGTTAAGCACCCAATTATAAATGAATCACCCTGTATATTAACAGTAAATAGAACGTAAGAAAGACAATAAGTTTATAGTATAATTACCACGGTGTTAATGAAATTGTCCGACCCCTAGCACTATGATGTAACTCTAAAAATGAATAATAATTATTATTATTGCAACAAATGAGTCATGATATTCGCAAGACGTCCGTGTACCATACGTAATATGTGCAGACATCTGCGAATTGAGAAGAGAAGGCGTTGTATTAAGCAAACCCAGCGCTGAAATGTTATCAGCCTTGTAATAATTAGCCTTTTGACCAATTACATGACAATTACCATTGTTTTAGTAAGATTTATTGTAATTAGAACGCTTCAACATATACCCGACTGGAAATTTGTTAGGACTGTGGTCTAGACCCAATCCAGTATACTTGACCTTAAATTGGACCTGAATTGAATAATTTGTTGGGCTGAGATCAGGAAGGTACAGGCCGGACGAAGGAAGCTGGCGAGCGGTCGCG